AACGTTGGACCCTACTTCCACCTGAGCGCAGCTTACGCCGCGACTGAATTGGAAATACGAGATTGATGATTGGTTGATTTTTTAAAGATTATCTAATCCAAGTCCCGGAGCCGCAGTTGGTGGCCGACTGCGACCTTGGCGTCCTGCTGCGACACGCTGCGATGGCCTAGCAGCTCGAGATGGCTACCGAGTATGTTACTCGTCAACCTGTGCGAGGGTCTGACGCGTCAACTAGGATCCTCGACGAGTAAATAGTCTCAAAAATCAAAGAAAACCGAATTGGCACTGGATCATTGTCGGACATGAATTTCGGAACTTTGCCGTCGTGTTTTGTGTGCCGCAGTTGACAGAGTGGATGCCGCAGTCTGTTGTGGCTTCGGGCAGGTTCCTAACCCTCGTCAGCCCGACGATTGGTTATCCCTCAAATCTTATATAATCCCTCGAGATGGAACCTTCCACAGAGCATACTGCACACGTATCCTCTCCTCTTTCTCTTAGCCGTGGCTACTCCTCAACAACCTCGACGACGAACCATGTCTCGTACTCCCAGAAAGACACCTTCTTATGGATCCATAGATCCAGGAGAGAGATGGGAACAGGATAATAACGCGAATGAAGCTACAAACCTGATCAGCACTACGCCTTCGCCCTCCTACCCGTCTTCTCTCGCCGCCCGGTTGGGTTTCCAGAAGCGCTCCAATCTCTATCTATGTGGGTACAATCTGTGTATAGGAGGCTGCATCTTTTGACTGGTGACTATAGATTTGATTCTGGGTGGCTTGATGCTGCTCTTTTGTGGGAGCCAATTCGCGATCCTCTTCACAGAGTCTCCTCTAGATACACTACTACCACCAGGTAACCATTCTCTGCTATTAACCTATCGTCGACATGGCTAACAGTTGACTTAGGCGAAGCCTATTGGTTCAAGCAAGGATTCCGCAAAAGTCAGTAGCCACCTCCGCACCTCAGCTAAATGCTAACTGCTCCCTAGTCGCCTTGTACATTCACATGTGGACTATTATACGTATGAAGCTTTACCCCTTTAGTGACCTTGAGCTGACACAGAGTAGCATGCGGGATCCTGATGGTCTTTCAATTCATCCCCCGAATCCGTAAAGTACGTCTCTCCCTCTTCCCTCAATTCCCAAGCTCATCAAGTCTATAGAGCATTCCATCATTACATCGTCTCAACGGCCGTATCGTCCTCCTCTTGTTCATCCCCGGCGCCATCACCGCCATCTTGATAACTCCCAATGCGTTCGGAGGTGAAGCAGCGGGTAATCTTGGACTCGCTACCCTCTTCATCTGCGTGTCGGTCTCGGGTGTTATGGGGTACTATAACATCCGAGCTGGTCACATTATGGAACACCGCAAGTGGATGTTCCGTGAGTCCTTCATCTACTCTTGAAGAGTGAAAAGCTAATACGGGGCTTGTAGGATGGATGGCATACTTGACGTCGATTGTTACCGCTCGAGTCTTTTTGGTCATTTCAGGGCTGATCCTCACCCAAGCCAAGTCCTACAGCACTGTACGTCACTCACCACGAACACATTCCAACACCCGCTGATCCCCCACTTTTATACAGGTCTGGACATGTGAGGAGGTTAATTACACACTCCAAAACGAGGGCTTCAACGGCACATTCCCCGCCTACCCAGAATGCATCGTCGACCCTTCCGCTTCGCATCAGGTGATCGTGCCTGCCGACATGAACAATGGACCTCTCGGCGTTGGGTCGGCTTTTCGAAGTGGGTTTGGAGCGGCAATGTGGTTCTCGCTCACCCTCCATGCTGTTCTCGTAGAACTCTATGTGAGTGTTTCTGCCAACACCATCGACTCTTGTTGACGTTTCGATAGCTTTCATATTCCTCTACGGATTCAAAGG